TCGCGTCACGTGACATGGCATCGCCGTGTCAGTTCTGCGTGTTGGGGACCGTCCGTTGTCGGGGTCAACTTAAGTTCATGTATTTCGGGACTTATTCATGGGTCTCAATATTCCGCTATTTAGCGGATTCCGCTGCCGCCATTTCCTCCGCTAAACTCCGCTACCGTGACAGCGGGCCAATCAGAAAAAGAGTTGCTGGGAGCAGAGTGACTGCGAGGCCTCGGGAATTACCTGGGAATTTGAAAAAAATCGCCGAGACGTGGGAAAATACATAAAAGATATTGAATATTATTTTAAAACCAAATTCTATGACGTCTTTAAGTTCATTTTTGTCGGTCGCGATTGTGATATTAATTCGGTTTTTCCCGGTCTGAGAGTACGTTTCACGCGAACAGGCGGCTATGGCGGCAAGCGGAATTGTATGTGACACCGAGGCTCGGCCGGAAAATCAAGATCTCAGAAATTTGTCTGTAAAAGTCTGATAACGCAACATTTGTAACCTGCAGTTTCTGCATTACAAACGTGGTGTCGCCATGAAAATAATGTTCGTCACTGTGCTGTCGCTTGTGGGGGCAAAAAAACAAAAGAAAGTTATACAGGCGTCTTGTCGGGCTCGTCATTGTGACCGGTCAATGAACCTGCGTGCGTTCTGAGCGCTCTGAAGTACAGGACTTCGGAATGGGGGAGATTATTGATTTTTTGTTAAAGATACACTTAGGGATGGGGGGACGGCTGAACGCCACACCAGAGGACAAAAAATGAAAAGAAATTGGAAGCAAATGTTTAATATTTAGAATTTTGATTTCTACTACAGCTCTCTGCAAAGTAAAGTGCTCGTTGGTGCATGCCTTTTGTATAATCGGGATCCGTCATAACTACTTGTAAGCGTTTTTATGAACTTAGGGCAGGGGCCTAAGTGTTCGCGTTTCATTGGATAGGTGACAGTAAATCATGTCTCTATATTTTAGCTTTTTGTTCAAGATTCGCAGATTTTCAGTATCACTTCATCTTGTCCTCCCACAGTTTTTACACCTCTCACACTGAATAGGTTTACTTGAGCTATTCAAGCTATTACTTTACTTTGAGTTAGAGCATTGATTTTGTCTTTCACGTTTATTATATGAATCATTACACCCAGACTGGTTCATGACAGTCGATATTCTGGTTCCAGGCCTTTTCTCGGGCTCAGTACAAGATTCATTTTTATGTAGTTTATATATGCAGGCAAATATGATGAAGGTAAAATATAAATAAGTCGCACAAGACCACAGTGCGCCACCACTTTCTGTATGAAATCAAGATTGTAAATATTTGGTAAGTGACTCTTGAAATGATCTTCCAGACCCTCAAACTGGATTGAAATAACATTGCTTTGATAAATTGATGGTTTTTATTTCATCATTCTAGTTTCCCAACAGTATAATGATAGTTGGTGTCTCGCGAAAATGGGCTTTTGTCGCGATCACGCGGAAAGTTCCTCCTTTTTAAAAATTCTGAGTTGAGACCCATGTTATTGGTAGGGGTGGGGTG